GGATTCCAAGAGTGAGTCCAGCCAGACAACTTCAGCAGTTCAGCGAGGCTCTGTCTCAAAATGTAAAAGAAGGGCTGGGGTGTAGCTCTGGGTGAAGGCCTTGGGTTCCATGCCCAGTACCACAAAACAAAGCAAACCCAGCTACGGTGGCAGAAACTGTACTGCTTTGTCCCCACCAGCAGCTTCGGGCTTCAGTTGCTCTAATCTTCAGAGCGCCTGCTGGTTCTGGGTGTTTTTTTGTTGTGCCCATCTTACATCTGTTGTGGCAATTCACCGTGGTTTTAACATGCATTTCCTGATGGCTAAAAATGTCCGGCATCTTTTTATGTACATACTTGTCTTTCTTAGATCCTCTTCGGTAAAGTGTCTATTCTTTTGCCTTTTTTTGAGTGGTTTCCAATTCCTGGGCTCAAGCAGCCCTCCTGCCTCAGCCTCCCAAGTAGCTGGGACCACAGGCACACACCACCATGCCTGGCTTAAGCCTATTTTAAATCAGGCTGTGTGCTTTCTTGCTGCTGGGTCTTGAGAGTGGTTTCCGCATCTGGATGCACATCCTGTGTTGCATATGTGGTTTGCAAGTGCTTCCTCCACTTCTCTTCCTTCGCCTAACAGCATCTCCTGGACGGCAATGTTTTTATTTTGAGGAGGAAGTTTTCTTTACTATTACTATCATTATTGAGATGTAAGTGAAGCACAGCCAGGCATATAGGTATGGCTGGGTAAGCCTTTGTGTTGTTGTCCGTGTCACCACCATCCCCAGGACAGGGCTTCCTCTTTCTGGTCACTCTGGGGGCCCTTTCCTACCCCATCCCTGCTGTTTTGACTTCTGTGACCAGACTGGTTTTGCCAGGAGATCTCAATGATTGTGTTCCGAGTTTTAGGGCCTGTCTGCTTTATCTTTGGAGTTGGAAGCATTCTCATCTCTGGGAGGAAATTTTTTTTTTTTTTTTTAAACAGGGTTTCACTGTGGAGCCCAGGCTGCCTTTGGACTCCTGGTGATCCTCCTGCCTCAGCCTCCCCAGTACTGGGATTACAGTCATGCACCACCACACCCGTTTGTTTTCCTTCCATTATTATTTTGTATTGGTGCATGTTTCCAATATGTGATGACCACATTCCTTGTGAGGAGTAACACATCTCAATTCTTTTTCAAATCCCTGTCTTCCCTCCTCCCTCAATCCCCTGGTCCCCTTTCCATTTGCAAAGGATCTATCTCCCTATTTCCCATTATCTATCTTTTATTTTCCTCCTTATTTATATTTTAGGTTTCTCATATAAGAGAAACCATGAGATATTTAAGCTTGCATGTCTGGTTTATTTCACTTAATGCTATGGTCTCAAGGTGCATCCATTCTCCTACAAGTAACTCAAGTGTATCCTTCTTTATGGCAGAGTAATATTCCATTGTATATAAAGATCACATTTTCTTTATCCATTCATTTATTGATGGACATATAGGCAGCTTCCAAGATTTAGCTATTATGAATTATGCTGCTATAAACATGGGAATACATGGATCTCTGCAATATGATGACTTTTAACTCTTTTGGGAAGATACCTAGAAGGGACATATCTGGGTTGAATGGTTGAATGGAATTTCTAGTTTTAGTTTTCTAAGGGTTCTCAATACTGATTTCCATAATGGTTCTATTAGTTTACACTCTCACCAACAGTGTAGGAGGGTTCCTCCCTTCCCAGCCTCACCAGCATTTGTTATCTGATTTCTTGATAATAATAATCACTCTTTCTAGAGTAAGACAGAATCTCAGTGCTGTTTTAATTTGCATTTCTCTAATGGCCAGCCATAGTAAACAGTTTTTCATGTATTTATTGGCTGTTTGTCCTTCTTCTGAGAAGTGACTATTCATTCAGTTGCCAAGTTTTTGATCAGGTCTTATTTAAAGGGGTTCTAATTTTTTTGAGTTCTTTATGGATTCTAGGTATTAGTCCTCTGTCCAAGGTATAGCTGGTGAAATCTTTTTCCATTCTGTAGTCTGTCTCTTCACTCTGTTAATTTCCTTTCCTGTACAGAAGCTTTTTAATTTAGTGTGATCTCATTTGTTGATACTTGATGTTATTTCTTGAGTAGTTAGGGTTTTCAGAATATCCTTGCCCATGCCTATGTCTTCAAGAATTTTACTTATTCTATCTTCCAGCAAATTAAGTGCTTCCATTTTAATATTTAGATGTTTAATCCATTTTGATTTCAGTTCAGTGCATGGTGATAGATATGGGTCTAGCTAGGTTCAATCTTTTTTTTCCTGGTACCAGCGATCAAACTCAGGACCTTGAGCTTGCAAGGCAGGGGAGGTGCCACTGAGCTAATTCCCTGGCCTAGTTCAAACTTCATAGCCAGTTCTCCTAGCACCATCTAGTAAAAGGCTATCTTTCCTCCAGTGTGTGTTTTTGGCCCCTTTGTTAAAGATCAGAGAGCTGAATGTGCTTGGGGTTGTTTCTGTATCCTCTATTCTGTTCCACAGATCCGCGCATCTGTTTTTGTGCCAATAGCATCCTGCTGTTTTTGATTTATTTATTTATAACTGTAGCTTTATAATATAACTTGAAATCTAGGATTGTGATGCCTCCTGCTTTGCTCTTGTTTCCTAGGGTTGCTTTTCCTATTTTGGGTCTCTTTTGGTCCATATAAATTTAAGGATTGTTTTCTGGAGTTGTGTGAAATATGCTGTTGGAATTTTTATTGGGATTGTGTTAAATCTGTATATCAGTTTTGGAAATGTGGACATTTGACCATATGGGCTCTGCCTATTCAGGAAAAGAGGACAGTTTTCTATTTTCTGGTATCCTCTTCAATTTCCTTTTTCAGAGTACTGTAGTTTTCATTGTAGAGTTCTTTCATCTTTAGATCACTTCCTAAATATTAAATTTTTCTTGATGCTACTGTAACAATGGTATTGTTCTCCTAATTTCTTTCTCGGTGGGTTCATTATTGGTGTAGAGAAATGCCACTGATTTTTGTGTGTTTATTTTGTATTCTGGATGCATTTAAAAAAATTTTTTTTGGTACTGGGGATCGAACTCAGGACCTTGTACTTGTGAGGCATGTGGGAGTACCATTTAGCTAAATCCCTGGCCCAATTCTGATATATTCTGAATTTGATTATTTTTAAATTTTTTATATTTTTGGTACTCTGAATTTGATTATTAATTCTAAGAATCTTTTGGTGGAATTTTTTGGTCTTCCATGTAGAAGATTATGCCATCTGCAAATAATGGTAATTGACTTTTTCCTTTCCTGTCTATATCCCTTTCATTTCTTTCCCTTGCCTGAGTGCTCTGGCTAATGTTTTGAAGACTATGTTGGAGAAGAGCACACACCCAGATGTTGGAGGGGGTTCTGATGTCCCCTACTAGATACAGACACTGAGCAAAGCTGGACTTCTGGTCCACTTGCTTCCTGGTGGCCAGCACACGACGCCCCACAGAGGCTCCAGCAAGTTGTCAGGAAATGGCAGAAGAGGCCCTGTAACCTAAGAGCCCAGTGAGGTGGGCAGGGGGCACAGTTACCAATCAGAAGACAGGTGCTCAGCCCTTTACCTGGTATTTACTGTGTGTTTGTGACAAAACCATATAAACATCTTGAGACTCAGTCACAGCATCTGTAAAGTGAAAACAGTAACATTTGGGCTGGGGATTTAGCTCAGTGGTTCAGCTGCCTGTCTCAAAAGCACAAGGTCCTGAGTTCGATCCCCAGTACTAAAAAAACCCAAAACAAAACAATAATATTCACTGTGAGCTGGGCATAGTAGTGTGACTGTCATCCCAGCTACGTGGGAGGCTGGTGCAGGAGGATCTCTTGAGCCCATGAGTTCAAGATCAGCCTGGGGCACATTGTGAGTCACCATCTCAAAACAACATAAAATGATGATGATGATATTATTATTATTATTTATTATTATTATTTTTTATTCAGGCCCATCCACAAGTATTTGAATACCTCTCTCTTTTTAGGTACAGGGAAAATAATACTTTGCCATTCCATTTAACTCTTACCAATTAACCCAGGTATGGCTGTGACTTATGGCCAATTAAAACATGTCCCCAGTACTTGGGAGGCTGAGGCAGGAGGATTACTGTGAGTTTGAGGGCAGCCTGGACTACACAGTGAGTTCAAGAGCAGCTTGAACTACATTTCAAGACTCTGTCTCAAAAAAACAACCAACCAGGGCCAGGGATTTACCTCAGCGGTTTTGCCACCTGCTGTGCAAGCTCAAGGACCCGTGTTTGATCCCCAGTACCAAAAAAAACAACAACAAAAAACCAACCAACTAACCAACCAACCGTGTCCTTCTATATGGAAGTCTTATGAGTACTCTGTGCTTTCCACCTTCTTTCTTCATCCTACCATGGCAGCTGGTGGTATTTTTAGATAGTAGACACTGCCAGCCCTGTGCTGGAGTCAGGACAGTGACATCAGGGAGAGCCTCCACCAGCCTGGGTATGTGCAAGAGCTGTAAGTAGACTTTTGCCACAGGAGGTCTGGGGACTTTTTGTTGCTGAAGCCTAACGTGTCCTGTTTGGGTGAGAGCCCACATTACAGATTTATTACCAAGATTAAATGGAAGAAAGTGTACGGGACTTCTTGGTACATGACAAGGCTTGATTTCCTTTCTTTACAACTCTCCTCCTTTCTTTCTGAGGCACCACGGGCTCAGGGATTCTCTTGCCAGCCCAGGACTCTGGCTGAGATGTAAGAGAACATTCACAAGCATCAAAGAAAGATGAAGGGTACAAGGACACAAAGAACAGAGGGCATGGAGATGTGACCCGACCAGGAAGAGAGACGGGGATAAAGAGAGAGGAGGACCCGGGACGTGGGGCACAGGCAGACCCTAAGGTCTCACCGACCGGCCAGCCAGGGTGATCTTGGCACCCTAGGAGGCTGAGGCAGCAGAATCGCAGGCTTGAGCCCAGCCTGGGCAACTTAGCAATTTAGTGAGACCCTGACTCAAAATAAAAATAAAGAAGGCTGGGGATGTAGCTCAGGGTGAAAGCTCTGGACTTGAACCCCATTACCTCAAAACAAAAAACAAACCAACAAGCAAACCTCCACCTGGGCCAAATCGAAACCCCACTCTGATAGTATCCCTGGTCCCAGGGGAACGAACAAGCTTGGCCATCAGCACTTCCGGCCGCCCACTTCCGGGCTTTCATCCGTCTGCCCTGGGCAGTGACCGGGCGCCCGCAGGGAATTATGAGAGGAGAAGGGAGCCCGGCCCCGCGGGGTCCAGGGCTCTGGTGGCCGAGTCCGCGCTGGGCGTCGGCGGGCGGGGGGAGGCGAGGCGGGGGGAGACTCGGCCCTCCGTGGGCCGTGGCCAGCACGGGGCGGGGCTGTTCAGCAGGGATCGATCCCTTGTTCGGTTTCCGCAGAGCTGCGCTGCCTGCCTGTGGGCGGGGCGGGGCCGAGTCCCTGGGCGTGGGGCCCGCGAATGGGCTGAGCGCCCAGCCGCCCGCGGCCTGCAGAGCGGACCAGGTGGCCGCGGGGAGCACGTTCCTGCCACACTTGGTGGGTGACATTGTTTTATGCGCTCCACTTGCGGCGACTCTCTCCCCTCCCCTCAGGCCTGTGCCATGGGTATTGTGTGGGTCTCCGCCCGCGTGCCCTGCAGCACCAGGGATTGAGCGACATCCCCAGCCTTTTTTATTTTTTGAAATAGGGTTTCCCCGAATTGCTAGGCTGCGACCCTTGATCTTCGCGTCTCAGCTTCCCAGAGTGCTGAGGTTACAGGCAGCTGCCCAGACGCCTCCCCTCCTGGCTTTGTCTTTTCCTAAGACACTCAAACGCGTTCTCTCCTGCTGGGCACGGTGGCACATGCCTGTAATCCCATTCCTCTGGGAGGCTGAGACAGGAGGATCATGAGTCCAGCCTGGGCAGCTCAGCGATTTAGCAAGACCTTATTTCAGGGTAAACAATAAAAAAGGCTGAGGACGAAGCTGCTCAGTGTGAAGGCCCTGGGTTCATCCCCGTACAATGAAAAAAGTCCTTTCTTCTTGCTTTTTGCGATACACAGTAACTGTTGTCTGTCGTCACCTCCCTGAGCAGAAACGCACCAGAATGTTAGTAGCCAGCAATCACCCCCTGCCCCGTGACACCAGCTGCTGGTGGGCATCGCATCTGTCAGAGCAATGGCTTCAGGTTCCACTCAGGTGAGCTGATGCAGTACCTGTCTGTGTGTGTCTGGCTGACTGACCTCACATCGTGACCTCAGTTTCGTGTCTCTCGTGACAGGATTCCACCCTTTTTAATGCCTGAAGAGTTTCCGTGGGGCAGAGCACCGTGTTTCCTTTCTCCATGCTTCAGTCGGTGGACACTTGATTTATTTCTATTTCTTGGTTACTCTTAGTAGTGCAAAATAAACGCAGGAATACAGATTTCTCTTCCATATACTGATTTTATTTATTTTGAATATACACCCAGTAGCAGGATTGCTGGATCATATAGTGGCTGTAATTTTACTTTCTCTTTTCTTTCTCTCTTTCTCTCTCTCTCCTTCCCTCCCCCATTCTGTCTGTCTCATCCTCTCTTTTTCTCTTTTATAAGGATCCGGGGAAGTGGACGTGACTGGAGAGCCCTGCAGCAGGTCCCAGCCTCCTGTGAGCCACCACAGCACCAGTGAAAGGTTAAAGAATAGACAGAACAGAACAAGACATCATGAAGCTGAGTCTTGGGTCCTGGTCGATGTTGCTGGTGGCAACAAAGACAGAAGCCCCAAGCATGTCCAGTATTTATTGAATGCAATCGTGAGAAGCAATAGGGAGCCAGGGAGCTTTGAAGTCATCTAGTGAGTAACTGCCAAACACCCGGCACGATGGCGCCAGGCAGGGCTGTCCGGGAGTCAGCACTGCTTATCTTGCTGGGATAGAAGAAACCTGCACTGGGACCAGGCACAGTTAGCAAGCAACCCACAAGGTCAGTGAGAAGCGGTAATTCCAGGGAAAGGATTTTAACTGGGATCCCGCTGACCTCAGCTGCACGTAATTCAGCAGGGCCCTGCTTCTTCATAGACCAGGAGTTAGGCCTCGGCGACAGCCATTAGCAAAGCAGCAATACTGGCCCAACTCTGCTGGCTGACCCGCCCGTTTGAGTCATGCAGGGCTTCGATCTGACTCCTGATATAAAACAATATAGCCGAATTATAGAAGACAAGAAGCATATGCCACTCATGCTCACTAGTACTGGGTAGAGATGTCTCCTATAGTCTTTCTTTTCTTTTTCTTCCTTCCTTCCTTCCTTTCTTCCTTCCTTCCTTCCTTTCTCTCTCTCTCTCTTTCTTCTTTCTTTCTTTCTTTCTTTCTTTCTCTCTCTCTCTCTCTCTCTCTCTTTTGGTACTGGGGATTGAACTCGGGACCTTGCGCTTTTGAGGCAGCTGGGGGATCTTTCTTTCTTCCTTTCTTTCTCTCCAGAGTCTCAGTATGGAGCCGAGGCTGGCCTTGAACTCTTGCCCCTAATGCTTCAGCCTTCCAAGTGCTGGGGTTACAGGCATGTGGCACCATGCCCGGCTTTCTATTTTTAATTTATTGGAGGAACTTTCGTACCGTATTCCAAAGTGACTGTACAAGCTTATGTGCCCACCAACAGTGTTCAAGCTTCCTTCTCCCTGCACATCTGCCCCAGAACTTGTTAGCTTGAGTCCTCTTCCGATTACAGACATTCTTACTGAGGTGAGGGGTGCTTCGCTGTGGTGTGGATTAGCATTTTCCTGACGATTAATGATGCTGAGCATATTTTCATGGACCTGTTCACCATGTGAGAAATGTCTACATAGTGGTGGTGCCCATTTTTAAATCAGGCTGTTTTGTTTCATTTTTGATTTTGCAGTCGAGTTCCTTATATATTTTGGATATTAACTCCTTGTCAGGTGTGTAGGTTGCATATATTTTCTTCCTCTCTGTAGGTTGTCTTGGCACTCTGAATTGTTTCCCTTGCTGTGCAGAAGATTTTTAGTTCGCTGTCACCCCATTTGTCTATTTTTGCTTTTGGCATCTTGTCCAAAAACTCCTTCCCCATTCTAATATCCTGAAAGGCTTTTTTTTTGAAAGTTTACCATGTGTTTTCTTCTATTAGTTTCATGGCTTATGTTTAAATCTTTAGTCTAATTTTCAGTGGGGTTTTTTAACTGGTGAGGAAGAAGTGTCTAGTTTCATTCTTCTGCATGTCGATACCAAGTTTTCCCAGCACTATTTATTGAAAAGCCTGTTATCCTTTTGAGCACAGGGTTTGTTTTTTTTTGTTTTTTTGTGGTGTTAGAGATTGATCCCAGGGGCTTGAACATTTAGGCTGGCACTCTACTCTTCCCAGCACCTCCCCTCTTTTGGATTTTTTTGAGACAGGGTCTCACTATGTAGCCCAGGCTGTCCTCAACTCTCAGTGATCCTCCTGCCTCAGCCTCCCGAGTGCTGGGATTACAGGTGTGCACCACCACGCCAGGCAAGACCCCAGTATTTTCATCACCCATCTTGACCATGGGGCAGCTGGGCACACAGAGGCTATGTCAGGCCTCCCAGCCGTAGGGCTGGACATGGGCAGAGCCACCTCCGCCTGCAGCCACTGTCTGCTCTGTTGCCCAGGATGGGGCTCTCTCCTCGGGGCTCCTCCGGGCGGAATTTGCATCACGTCTGCTTCAGGCTCCTGGAACCTTTCACATGGATGACCTCACCCCAGTCTTTCAATAACGGAGTCTGTGGGTGCAGCACACACAATAACAGCGTCTGTGAGGTCAGTATTATTATTCAGTTTTCAAAGTTTCCCAAAGAAACCCGGGGGTTTGTCAGAGGTCAGAACCCAGGCGGCAGCAGGGCTCCTGCTCAGACTCAGGTCTCTGACTCGGAGCCTAGGGCTCGGCCGTGTGGTCAGCAGGCTGATGGCCTCACATACAGGCTGCGCGGGTTGGAGGCCAGGGTGCTTCTCACTGTCAGCTGCCTCTGTGTGGGAAATGTCTTTGAGCCCAGTGAGAGGGAAGAGAATGTGTGGTTGGCATCGATTTCCTACTGTTGGGCAATGGGTTCCACCGGCCCGGCCCAGTGACGTCAGCTGTCTGGGTCCTGGCCAGGCCGCCCAGGAAGCTGACTTCCGGCCGGGCTCTGAGCCAGCCGGCCTCCTGGAAAGCTTTGAGGAGAGGAACTGAGTAGTCAGATTTCAGGGAAGATCTCAGTGTAGGGAATCAGGTAAAAATGCACAAGAGGAGTCTGGGGCCTGGGGTAGGGTGAGCCAGAGCCTCTGGCTGGGGCTGGGGACTCGGGCAAGAAGGGAGGATCTGATGATCAGACCTGGAGGCTGCAGATTTGGTGACTGACAAAGGCTTGAGATAAGTGAGGGTGGATGGGAGGAAAGGCTAGCAAAGCTTAGAAAAGTGGAAAAAGATCCACGTGATGATGCAAACACCAACGGTTACACACAGACCACGAACAGGATGCAGTCCTAACCCTCCTACACTTTCCTGTGGATGCTGAATCTTTCTGGTGCTGGGGATTGAACTTGGGACCTTGCACTTCCAAGGCAGGCACTGGAACCACTGAGCTAAATCCCTGGCTTGTGGATTCTGAATCCTAAACAAAACAGTGCACAGGAACATAACCAGCTTCCTTCCGCACCTTCAGTTTTCTGAATTACAGAAGTACACCAGCCAGAGCCGGGTGGTGGGGGGCGCATGCCTGTAATCCTGGCACTCTGGGAGGCTGAGACAGCAGCCTCTCAAATTCCAGCTCAGCCTGGGCCACTTAGAGACTTAGCAGAACCTCATCTCAAAATAAAGTCATAAAAAGGGAGGCTCGGTTCCGGCACCTGCCTCAAAAGCGCAAGGTCCTGAGTTCAATCCCCGGTACCAAAAAAAAAAAAAAAAGAGGCTGGGGATGGAGCTCAGTGTGAAGGCCCTGGGTTCAATCCCCAGCACTATTTAAAAAGGGGGGGGAACCTAAACAGGAGTTAAATGAAGTGAAGTAGACAGTTTTCGGTTCACTCTCCAGCCCTATCCCCATCCCTGTCAGCCTGGTTTATAAATGTGGTTACAAGGACCCTGTGCAGTAAGAACCTATCTTTAAAAAAAACTGTGATAAAGTATATGTAAGATTTACATTTTAACCTTTTTGTTGTTGTTTTTGTTTTTTTGAGACAGGGTCTCACTTTGTAGTTCAGGCTGGCTTTGAACTCAGGAGGACGTCGATCCTCCTGCCTCAGCCTCCCAAGTGCTCCTGAGTGTGTCTCCATGCTCGGCCCTTTTAATATCAAGTGGCATCGGCTGGGGATTTAGCTCAGCAGTTCTGCCACCTGTCTTGCAGGCGCAAGGTCCCAAGTTCGATCCCTGGTACCCCCCCGCCCCCCAAAAATTAAGTGGCATCAAGTTTGTCCATATTGTTGTGTCCGCCCTGTGAGTTTCCTCTTCTTCCCCAGCTCACTCTGGGCAGTAGGAATGACACCTCCTTGTCAGGGTCTCAGCTTGCAGCCACTGCTCCACTCCCTGTCCCTCAGGAATCTAACGACATGACGCTCAGGTGGATCACATCAGTCCATGCCTTGTGTGAAGAGATTTCATTTCACTTAAAATACTGCTTTCACATCGTATCTACACTAGTGGGTGTCCGGATCCCCCCTCCTCAGGCTGAATGATGTCCAGTGTGTGCGCGTGCGCGTGTGTGCCCTTTTGTTTACCCATTCGTCTACTGATGGACACAGACCACTTCCACCTTTTAGCAACTGTGGAAATGGTGCTGAAGCCGGACGTGGTGTCACCTGTCCTCGATCCCAGCACTCCAGAGGCTGTGGCAGGAGGACTGTCGTGAATTTGTGGCCATCCGGGGCCACATACCAAGTCCTTACCTCAAAAAATAGATAAATAAATAAAAATTTTAAAAATGCTGCTATGAGTGTGGGTGTACAAACATCTACTTTATTCCTGCTTTTTAAATGACAGCAGGGCCGGGGATTTAGCTCAGTGGTTTCATCACCTGCTATGCAAGCGGGAGGACCTGAGTTTGATCTCCGGTACAAAAAAAAAAAAAAGGACAGCTTCGTTGGGACATAAGCCACTTCTTTACAGTTTCTGGTGTTTGCTTTCGGGAGCGGTCCTGCTGTTGCCCAGACTGGCCCTGGACTTGGATGCTCCCCCCAGGCCCCCCGGGCAGCTAGGATTGCAGGTGTGCACCACAGTGCCAGTGCTCGCTCACAGTTCCCGGGACTGAACCCAGGCCTCACGCTGAGCTGTATCCCCAGGCCTTTTGACCTGTGTTCGGGATGGGGTCTCACCAAGTCACTAGGTTACCCAGGCTGGGCTTGAACTTCCTGCCTCAGCTTCCCAGAGTGCTGGGATTACAGGTGTGTGCCTCGTGCCCAGCTGCAATTCATTCTTTTAAAGTCAGCAATGGAAGGTTTTTTATTTTACTTATATAGTA